AATCTAGAAATAAGAATACTAAAGATAATTAGCTTCGAAATTTTTATGGATTATTGTTATTTTCTTTAGAATACAATAAATATGCTTGCATAATCACACTTATCTTTAGTAACGAAAAAGTGCTGTAACAATTCTTAACTTTTGAGAATTTAGTTTAAAAAAATTTTTGCAATTTTATTTCATTATTGTTTAAATCTTTTTTCTAAGATTCTTTTCAGAGATGAAAAAATTTGTGGTGAGTCATCATAGTTTTTTCTTTTTTGCTTGGTTAACTAGAGCAAAGATTCTTTCTATACTTTTTTATACCTGTCCTTCAATTACATAAATCTTATAAACAGAGAAATATATGTGTATTGAATTCTATCAAAAATATGATTAAGCTAATCATATTTATATCATAATGAAAGAATTGATTGACTAAAAAAAATCATGTAACTTTTGGAATCCAAGAAATAAGAGATCAGGGATCAAGAAACGAAAAAGCGCTATCATATCCCTAGAATATACTTAAATATATCTCTCAATTTTTCCATACTACAATACATTCAAGAAATGACACAAGAAAAATATTATAGTTTGTTATAATTAGAATTATTTAAAAAAACTTGTTGTTTAATTGTTTTCAATAGAAACTTATTTTTAATTACGATAAAACATATTAATTTATTCTAAAATAATTTTTTTTTAATATTTTGTTTTAAAATATTTAATTATAAATGTAAGAGATTTAAAAATATTTTTAAAATATTTATAGAATTTATTTAAAAAATTTTTTTTCTCACATTTTTCTTTTTTCGAATGCAATTTCGTCTGGGAATTTTTTAGAACAAAATAATAGCAAATTTTTTAGAACCAAAAGCATTAAAACATTTTCGCAAAACTTCTAAATTTAAATCTTTTAAAATTTTAAATTTATAAAAAATTTATTTTATCTTTCATTTTTAAATGAAATTTTAAGATATTCTCTTGAAAAATATACATTTTTAATTAATATTAAATTTAAAAGAGAGGGAGGAAGATTGGATTTTAAATTAAAATTTTAGCTTCAAATTTTTATTAATTTCCAAGATATTAATAAAAAACATACATTCTTCATACATTCTTATACAAACGTAACAAATGTCTTCACAGTAGACACAATCATAGTCGAGTATTAAATAGTCGATGACGTAATAGCGATAATGATCCTAAGCATTTATAGAGTGTTTCACATAAAAAATCGAAGACGCAATGATTATTTTAGCATAGCCGACCGCTTGGCGGCAAAATATATAATCTGAAAATTAATATTTTCCTATCTTTATATTTATAGTATAATTCTAAATATTTACTGCATAATAAAGATATTGAAGTACGGTATATTGAAACTTAATATTTTTGGATTACGGGAATTAAAATAGATGAAAAAAATAATTATAATTATTTTATAATTATATTATAATTACCGACATTGTTGATATTTGAGGAAAAAAATCTATTCTAATAAATTCAGTAATTTTGTCAATAAGTTAATTTTAAAAATAACATAATTTAAAACCAAACAATTGTATTGCAAGAAAATACAGATAACCGAAGTTATAATAATTGATTTTACTTGAGACACCTTATGCATACTGATATCGTTACTGTATTATGTCATCGACTATTTTACACTCGGCGACGCGTCGACAATCTATAGTATGAAAACGGTTGTATTAATAATATCTGTGTAGACCGTATTCAATGTGTTAATTATATAAGATTTAAATGTATTGTATCGAAAATTTTTTATTAATATCTCAGAAACTAATAAATAAATAAAAATTTTAGATTTAGATCCATTTCTGCTCGTTTCAATTCTTCTAAATTTTATATCAATTATGTATATATTTCTAAAATACTGTTAAATTTTGTGATTTTATAAATATATATTTTAAAAATTATATTTATTAATAATTGAATACGATTTTGAGAAGTTAAAAAAAGTGCTCAGAGTTTCGATATCTCTTTTTTTAATACAAAATATAAAATATAAAGCGATTAATTACATTGAATATCATAATCATTCTTAGTAATTTCATTTGTTTTATATTTTATTTTTATATTTTATATTTATTATATTTTCTTCGAATCCGTATGTTTAAGTAATAAATTTGAAACAGTTTAACTCATAATTCATGAACAAATAAATTTTAAATCCATATACATATATTTTAACTTGTTGTCATTATGTATTTACATTAATATTTAAAAGGATAAATGACGGTCGCATGTTTACGCACATATAACCGCGAACATATAGATATAAGAGAAATTCTATGTAATAACAATCTTTTTTTACAAATATCTTGAAAACTAGGATTAAACAACGATAATAAACAAAGGAAAAAATCATTCAAAATATTCATTTCTATTTGTAATATATTAAAAATTATCGAAATCAGTGAAGATTCTTTTATTCGTTTATTCCTATACAAATAATTATTAAAATTCCTAGTCAAAATTTTATTCAAAATACAAATAATACTGAAATTTTTTTTTGAAAAGTTTGATTTCATTCTTCATGATAATATTTTTTATGATCAATAAAAAAATATTTCAAGTATAATTTATTATGCTATATATATACAAACTTTCATTAAAATCAAAATTATCAGATTAAATGAATTTTTTTATAATATACATATGAATGATAACATATATGAATAATTTCGAATGATCAATCACTTCGAGTTTGTTATAAGATCAATATATTTTTTTTTCAATTTTCTCAGAATATATTTAATACAATTGAAGTGAATTTATATTTGAATATATTATATATGTATTTGAATATATTTATTAGATAGTTGTTGGATTTTCTATTTTACTATAAATGTAATCTTTTATGCATGTAGTTTTTTTTTTATAAATGCATTATTATTCAGAATATAATTGCATGATTATTAATTTGATGATAATATATAATTGCAATCATATATCTAAATTAATATATTTTTAAAAAACAACGTTAATTCTTCTAAATCTATTTATCAAATTGTTTTCGATCATTCAAGTCTTTTTCATCATATTTTCATCAAATAAAATTTATCTTTGTAATGCCAATCGATTGTATATAGACATTCATAAAGATCAATCTTTCGATAATAATCCTTGATATAACTCAGTCCATCATTTAAAATTAATATTATTCATTTGCTCATCAATTTGAATTTGTTCTTGAATATTAATGTAGCCGGCAATCACTTATCGTATCAGTTCATTAACTTGTATAATTTCAGAGAAAAAAACCTGCTTTTTTCGTAATATTTTGATAATAAAATAGTATTTAAATTATAAAGTAAATTCAATTTTTTTATTATATTTTAATATATTAATTTGCTATTATACTTGTTCTAAATTAAATATCATATCTTTATATTGATTTCATTATTGTTTCATGACATGCATCATTTTAAATTCATATTTTTTTTAAGTGAATTATATTATAAACGAATATATTATTAATAATAACTATAATATAATAGTTATTATAATAATTATTATATAATTATAATTATATGATTATTATAATAATAATTAATAATGATAATAATAATAGTTAATAGTTAATTATAATAATTAATAATAATATTATTATTATAATTTATTTATAATATATTAATATATATATAAATATATTAATTATAATATTATTATAACAATTATAATAATATTGTATTATATTATATTCTTTCTTATTAAATAATCTGTTAAATAACCTATAAATTTAATTTTTATTTTATTTTTAATTGACTTTTAATTATGGTGTAAGTATTATAAGACAAAAAGTTAAAAAAAAATATATAAATCTATATTTATATGTCTTTCCCTCTATGTCCCATTCTTTAAATAATTCTTAAAATTATTAATTAATATAATTAATTAATATAAATTAATAAAATGAATTGATTAACTAAATAAGTAAATTACGAAGTTTTACATATTTACATGTTTTTGTTTTAATAGCAAGATCAGAGCCAAAAATGATGTGGTTAATTGATATTTCACTGTCACCACCAATGATATTTTTTCGATTTAACATCAAATTATAAAATTTCAAATTTAAAAAATTTTTTTAATTTTGATATAGCTTTAATAATTTGTGTTATTACTTGTAATAATTTCTTATTATTGGTGTACAAATAAAAGTTAAATATGTAATTATTGCATATAATTACTTAATGTGTCTACTGTTATTTTTTTATTCTTAATAATATTTATTTATTGTTATCGTAAATAAACATTTGTATATTGTATATTATAAAATAATATTACTTCTGTTTATATGTATAATATTTATCAAATATTTTGTATATTAAATTGATTGTTAATCACTTATTTAATCAAGGATATATAAAAATCTATAGTTATTTATTTTTTATTTTTTCTTTCTTTAGTTATTCCTCTTTAGAAATTTTTCTTCACTTTGAGAATTTTATCTATAATTATTTTTTTTTAATATACTTTAATTATTTTAAACTTAAAATCAAACAATTTTTTGAAAATTCTAGTTTTAAACAAATTTTGTATTCTCATTATTCGAAAAAAAATATAATTATATTTTACATAGATATGTATTATATATATGTATAAGAACAATATAATTAAAATAATTTGTTTTAATTTATCAATTTCTTGAGTAAAAAATATAACAAACATCAGTGATTGATATTGATTAAAAAAATTATTTCGTTTTTTTTTTAAATAAATTTTAAATTTCTCTGAAAAATTTGGAAAAATTTTTTAGATATTTCTAATGAATAGAATTTAATACAGCAAATTGTATTTTTGTAATATAATTTTATATATAAATGTATATGATGTATATAATTTATATAATTTTATATAATTTTATGTAATTTAATAATTTTTTTAATAATTGTAATTTAATTGTAGTTGTTTCATTGTATGGATTTTAAAATAAAAATTAACTATATACTTCGAAAATATATTTCGAATTATAAATAAATTCTGTATCATTAATTTAATGAAATTTGTTTAAGAAGAAAAATAAAATATTTATTGTGATTATTTAAAATTTGTTTCGAAAAGAATTAAATAAAATTTAATGTTATCTTGAAACTTGTCAATGTTAAAATATATTTAATTATATAACATATATTTAAATTATTTAAAATTAAATGTGTTTCATTTGTTTTTTATAATTAATATTTTATATTATTATTATATTATTATTATCACTATATTTTTTTTAGATGAAACATATTTTAATTGTTTATTTCTTTTTATGAAAATATTTGATAATAATAATTTGATACTTGATATTAATAACGTTTAATTGCGCATTTTAAATATTACAAATTTTATTTATACTCTTATATTTCAATTATTTTATTAATAATTAATAACTTTATAAATACTATAATATTAAAATTAAGGAAAAAGATTAATATAAAATATTTTATTTCTTAATTTTTTTCACTTAAGAATCATCAATTTATAGATTTTTCATCGATAAATTAAATATTTAAAAATTATATACTTATAATCTATTCTATTTTGATTTCATTGAAAAATTATTTGAATAATTTTGTTTTGTTCGGATGCAATTTTAAAATTCATTGATGTATTAAATTTCGTTTATGATCAAAAGTGGATAACATTTAATGCATTAGAGTAAAGATTGTATTATTTATATATATTTGTATATATTGTTAATCATAAAATAATATATATAAATAAAATCTCAAAAAATCTTAAAAAAAGTTTCATGTTTATGGAAAAAGTTAGATGTAACTTTTGTATAACTTTATATATAGAAGTGGATTCATTGCTACTATTAGTTAAACTTGTTATGTCCAATTTTGCATTTTTGCAACAAAGAAACATTTTATAATTAGTTTTTATTGGTACTTATACTTACGTAAATTCGTTATATAAATCTTCATAAAATCTCTCATTCTTATTTTTATGAATGGAAAATTTATTTCATGATATTATTTTTGCGATATATTGAAGAAAAAAATTTCTAATTTGATAATATATATGATCATTTCATGTATATATAATATAGAAAATCAATTGTAAATATAATAGAATATAATAGAAATAGAAAATATAATAGAAAATTTTTCTTTAATAAAAATCAAAATTATAAAAAAAAATTAGTAGAATCATTTCTTGATGTCCATAATGTCATAAAGCATACAATGTGTAAGATAACGAAATGAAGAATATTTTGTTTAAAAATTAGCTAAAAAATGACAATATGTATAAAAACTCAAAATTCAATGTTAATAATAATTACTAACTCAAGAATAATAGGAAAAGATTATTAATATTAATAAAAAAAATACTTACTTAATAAAAATAAAAAATTATTTTTTATGAAAATAAGAAATTATTTCATTTCAGTAAAATTTAATAAATTTTTTGTTTAAAAGTATTAAAAAAATTCTTTTTTAAATAAATATAAAAATGTCTAAAATAAAAAAAATTTAAGTCAAATATAATGTTATTAACATTACAATGTGTGAAATCATAGAATAGAATTATGTAAAAAATAATTAAATATTATGTATGATTTATTTAATTTATTAATCAAATATATATTTTATATATAATATTTGAAATCTTGGTAAAAATTAACAAATTCGTTACTTTCATAAAATAAAAAAATAATTGAATATATAAAATTATATATACGATTATTATATATAAAATTAATTATATGAAATTTAAAATTTGAATAATTATAAAATAATTATAGAATAATAATTATAAAAGTTTGAATATAAGAAGTTACAAAAATCGTGTTAATATTATAATAATATAATATTATTATTTATTATTTTAGAAATGGCAGTACATATGGCGCCTTTCAATCAAAAGATCCTATTTTGGCAATGGAAAAGGGTTCCGAAATGGAAGATAGAAATGAGCATGGAATTTCTGTTCATCATCCAACCTCGTAAGTTTATCTTTTATTTCGTTAATCTTTTTATAATTTATATTGATTTTTTTAAATAAATTACAAATTAGAAAAATTTATTAAAGATAAAGTTCCTTTAATAATTTAAATTAAAAAAAAAATAACTTTTATGTTTACATCTTTGTACGAATATGCTATTTATAATAATAAGATAGATTTATACATTAGAGATTGTAATCACTTTTTGTTATTATAAATATATTTTTATTTATTAGAAAAAGCGAATTATCTATTAAGTATAAAATTCTAAATTTTATATGTATGAAACACTGCAAATTTAAAATCATATAATTATTTTTAGATCAATTATTTTCTACTAATAAAAATTACTTTATTAATTTTGATAGTTTCATTTTTTAAATCATAAATAATAAATTAATAAATTTAAATAATTATTTAAAATTATTAATAATTTATATAGAATATGTTATTAATAAATATAAAATTATTTAATAAAAATAGATAGATATTTTAATATTTTAAATTTAAAACTTATCAAAATTTATTATTAAAATTTTAATATTTAAAAATATTTTAAAAATATTAAAATTAATTTACTTCGTAATTTCAAATATTTTTTTTTTAAATCGCATCAATGACTGTATTAAAAATATTATTAAAAAAATTTATGAAATAATGTTTTGTTATATATTAATAATGTTTATTTTTTTTTTAATTATCTAATTTTATTTTTATAAAAAAAATTTTTTTTAGAACAAAATATTATATAGTATCAGTAATAAAAATTAAATAATAATTAGATGGATCATTTTTATGATTAAAAAATTTGAATGACGATATATTCTTTTGTTCCTCATAGTTAAGATTCCAATCAAAAAGTTTATTTTTACATTATTATTCTATTATTTTACTTGGTTAAGTTATATATAATAGGAAAATAATTTACAGAATAATTATCATTTTCCATAATATTTATGAAATTATTATTTTAAAAAATAAAAAATCTACACGTGAAGGAATTTTAGAATTAAAATTTTCCTTCCAAACAAAAACAGAATAATTTAAGAATATAATTTTTTCTTGTAAATATCTAACTAATTGATTTGTAATATATTAGAAATATACTTTCGATAATATGATAATATGAATAATTAAAGTAAAAATTCAAGACCATATATATGTATATTATATAAATGAATAAATGAACATACTTAATTTTGCCGGAAATCAGATACAATTCTATTCACTGGAGAATATTTAAATTAATACAGATAAAGAATTCCATATTCCATTGTAACAATATATATTACACAATATATTTAAATATATACATATTTGTCATTATTTCTGTAAATATTATAAGTATGAAAAAATATTTCAAAAATTATAATATTATATTATTTTTATAATTATTTATAATTATATATTTATTATATATTTATATATTTATTATATAATTTTTTATAATTATTTTAATTATAAAATTATATATCTATTATATATTTATATTTATATTGAAGCATTTTCAAAATACTATATTTTTTATTTATGCATATATTTTTTTTAATCTGTTGTTAAGTTATTAACTTTCAAAATTTATATGTCGTCCATAATTAATTTTTTTAGATAAAACATAATATGGTCAAATCAGTTTTTTGATCGTATAATTTTTTTTTGTGGAAGTATAAAAATAGTTTATTACATTCTGATTGAAAATACATTTTGAAATTATAATTAAATAATTATTATATATGAAAAAAATAACAATTGAAAAAAAAAGAAAAATAATTCCAATACATTATAGATATGCAATATATGTATATAGCAATTGAAAAAAAAAGAAAAATAATTCCAATTATAGATATCCAATATATGTATATATATATGTATATATATAATGAATATATATATATACATTTAAAATGAATGTAATGTATACATTATTAAGTATCATGTTATATATTTCATTTCATTTTGTTTGTATTTTGTCTTTTATTATTCGATTAAATTATATCAATTCTTAATTTTGATGTGTTTATATAAATAAATATTTCTAGTTTGTAATATTTTTTTTACTATTCTAAAGTGAATAGTTGCTTTTGATTTTCTTTATGAAATAAAAATTGTTATATATGTTGTTACATATATATATAATAAAATTGAGATTATTATTAATATTATTAATGCTATATTATTTAAAAATAAATTAATTATGAATAAATTTTAAAATAAAGATAAAAGAATAATTTTTGTATTATTATTTGTCTCTAACTTTTTTATTTGTTAATATTTCTAGTTTTTTTATATATTTTTATTTTAAAATAGTTTAAAATTTTTAGTTCAATTTCTCTTTTAGAATTTTTAATTTATTTTTAATCTCTAAATTTTTTAAGTTTCTTTTAGATAACTCTATTGTGTTTTCTTAAGAATATTTATTAAATACTTTTCATCTTTATATATTATTATATGATATATTAAATCCTTTTTAATTATTTGTATAATATTTAATATCTTTTTTTCAATCTTATGTTATGAATTGAATAAAATTGTCCATTTCCTTAATTATAGTATTATTATTGGCATAGACATATTTGTTACATGTTTTTTCTGAGATGATATTATTACATAGTAGTAGTAGTTCGTGATGTGAAAGAGTAATTTTCTAAATTTATGAGCATATTAATGCAAATCATGATATAAAACAATTTATAATTAAATAAATGACGAACAGATAGAAAAAACTTTATCTATTTCTATTATTATCTTAAGTATTAATAATATGTAATATTTTGTAAAACGCATTTAACTTGAATTTATGTATCTACATAATAATAATAATATTTATGATGATGATTAAAGAAGAACATCAAACTTAAATTTTTCTATAAACCACAAAAGCCAAAACCGAATCTCGAAATAAATATGTTGGCATAAGTCCTCATTAATCCGCGTAATTTCTACATTTAGAGAATTTTAGAGAATTTCTATTATCATATTAATAGTATTTTTGATTACATAATTATGCGTTTCAAAATTTGTGTGAAATATTTTTTTGCAATGTTTAAGGGATTTCAAATGAAAGTTAAGATAAATTTTTCTTTTTTGTGTTTTATTTATTAAATATTATTAAATAAATATTAAACATTAAATTTAATTGATTTCATTGATTCGAATTACGATTTCGAATCATTTTTTGACTTTTTATCAACAACTTGATTTTGCCAAGTAAGTGATATTAAAATAAAAACATGAATAAAAGCTTGAATAAGATTTATATAAAATAGATACTTATTACTAAAATAGATAATTATTACAAAAAGAATTTAATTATTAACATTTATTGAAATCAATTATCGAATTGATGATTAAAATAATGAATTTTTTATTATATTATTAATTAAGTATATTAGTAATTAAATCGCAATTAAAGATTAAAAGATATTTTTAATAATAATAAAGTAAATACTTATTTAATAATAATTTGGTATTATTGTAAATTTTATCATTATTGTAAATCGTTAAGATTTATAACTAAATTAAGAATTTAATTATTAATTGTGTTTAAAATAACAATACATGATTTATGATTGAAGTATGATATTATTATTTCATTATTGATTAAATTTTTATTCAGTTTTGATATATAATTTAAAAAAGTAAAATTGATAAATAAATATATTAAATATTAAATTATTAAATTTATTATCAAATATGTCATTGAATTTTATGCAATTACATTTGTTTAAGATTATTTTTAATATTCTATAAAGAATTATTCTCTTTATAGAATAAAGCGTTAAAAAATGGAAAAAATTATTTTTAACTATGCAAGATATTAAATATTTATGTATCAAAAAAATACTTTAATTTATTTTAATTTTTTTTACTTTAATTCAATTTTATTTTAATTTATAGTTTTTTATTTTTTTTTCTCATTCATTTCAATTATTCGAATAATTATTATGATCTTATTAAATAATGAATGATATTTGTTTATGAATTGTAAATGTTAAATTACAAAAAAAGCAAATATAGGTTTTCAACTTTTGATTAGATCATTTGATTTTAAAATAGATTGAATGACAAAACATAAGAAATATCTAAGAAATTTTATATTAATATACTAATTTTTGTTAAAGCTATTTAACACGTTCATTAAAAATCGAATTTCGATTTGTATGTTTACAAATAATTTTATATAGTATTATATTTATTTTTATATTGTAAAATATTATATATGTTTTTAACTTATTAAATATTTGTTTCTAATTATTTTTTACAAAAATTTCTTATTAATTTTTATTTGAATCTAATTTGAATCTATGATACAAATATCTAATAAATAAAGTTAATTAATATTTTGATAAAATTTATAATTATAGTTATAAAAAATTTTATCAAATAAAAAAATAATTCAAAAATTTTCACTAATTTTAACCTTTAATTTTTAAATTTTAAATCATTAATAATATACATGTATATATATCTTTAATATCTCTCTAAAAAATTAAATAATAATAACAATATCTTTCTAAAGTATTAAATTAGGTAAAAATATTTCTCATTGGTTAAGTTTTACTAAATATTTTATTAAAATCTTTTTCAAAATATTGAATTATCAAAATATATAAAGACATTGATTATTTAAAAAGCAACCTTAAAAAATTCTTTGTGGTTTATTACTAAATTTTAATAAATTAAAAATCGAATATTTTTACATTAATCGCATTGTATAAAATTATTATTTTAATTTTTGAAATATTATCGGCTTAAACTGTAAATCATTATATAAATCTTTATATCTTTATACTTTAAGTTATATATAAAGTTATTTATATTGAATGAATAATTACAGGTACTTAGAAACAATGATGCACCTATTCAAAGGTAATGTCGGTTCGGGAATCTTTGCATTAGGGGATGCTTTCAAACATGCTGGACTACTGTTAGCTCCTCCACTTACCATGTTCCTCGGGGTTATTTGTGTTCATGCTCAACATATTCTTGTATGTATAACTCATATTTTTAGATATGTTTAATAAGTAAATGCTTAATAAGTAACTACGCTAATTTTATGCATTTTCTATAATTCATATATATTCATTCTATAATTCATATATAATTCTATAATTCATATTATGATATAATTTTATATTATATATATTTATATTATATATAAAATAATTTTTTATTATATATATATAATTAAATAAATATAAAATTAATATATTAAAAAAAAAGAAAATTATTTCTTAAATATTATTTTCAAAATTTTGAAAATTAAATGTAAAAAATAAAAAATTTAAAGAATATAAGTATTATAATAATAAAATAACAATAATAAAATTATATAAATTGCAATTTTCTAATCTCTTTAAATTACATATACAATATCTATATGTATGTATAGAATGTTTTATTTTGGTGTTTTATTTTCAGAAAAACTATGGCAGTATATTTTGAGAAATAAAAATAAAAGGAATATTAGAAAAAATAAAATTAAATATAGAATACAATAAAAAAAAACGAAATAACAATGAATCGAATTTTTTGTCAATGCTGGATAGAAATATATTGTCAATATATATATATATTTTATATTTATTTGAGATTGTTGATAAATAATATGGTTTGTATTAAAATTAATAATTTATAATATCAATAATCTTTTGCTATACAATATTAAACAAAAAAGTTATTTTGTATTTTTATTATAATTTTTTAATTTTTAAGCATTTATAAATTTATATTTATATAACATTTTTTTTATTTTTATTCATAGAATTGCTGATAAATATGTTTTATGGAAAAATCTGAGAACTTTATATTTTTTTTTAAATTTCAGATCAATTATTATTTTTTAATAATTTCATCAATTATTTTATTATTATTATTTTATATAATATTATAATTTTAATATATTATATTATTATAAATTTATTATATTCTATATTTATTATTTTATCATAATACAATATAATAAAATTTTTGTTTAATATGTAAATATTATCATATGTATCATAGATTAAATGCAACGAAGAAGTGACGCGTCGTGTTAATGATCCGAATGCTACGACTGGATTTGCTGGTACAGTAGAATTGTGCTTCGCCACTGGTCCTCTCTCACTCCGAAAATACTCTGTGTTTATGAGGTCAGTATATGTTTAATAAAAAAAACATATTCTGATGTTAAATTAAATTCTTATTTTGTATTATTTATTCAATAATAAATTAATATTTTATTTTAATTTTTAATATTTTTAAATTTTTCATTGTCTTTAATTTTAAAAAAAATTAATTTTAACGTGTTTTATTCTCATTTCTCTTATTTTTCTTTGTGATTTATATCATCTTACGTTACTTTGTTCCAGAAAATTGGTTAATATATTTTTATGTATCACGCAACTCGGATTTTGCTGTGTATATTTTGTTTTCATTGCGAAGAATATGAAACTGGTAAGTTTTCAATGTTTAATTTTGCTTTTGTTTAATGTTTAATTTTTTATTGAGAAACTAAATTTAAAGTTTTAACCATTTAAATATTGAACATTCTAATTATAAATTTCTGTGAATCTTAAAGTGAACTTTAAGATCATTCTATATACAAAAATTAGTTGAAAAAAAAATGAAATTTTTTTTGTTTAAGACTTTATTTTTAAAAAAATCTAGTTTCAAATATTTCTTCAAATACACACATACACACACATTAATTACTCTACATAACAGTATTTAATACAATTTCTTGACAGTATTGATATCTTTATTTTGGATTAATATTTCGATTTTCCCAAAAATAAAATCTTAAAAAAAATTTTTATATTTTATTTTATATTTACTTTTGTATATTTGTTTATAATTTATTTTAAGATATTTGTATGCATTTTTAATTTATATCGATGAAATTCACTACAGAAGAGCGAATTAGAAATGTAATATTTCTATTAATAAATCTATTATATTTAATATATTTTTTTTAACTTTTGCTGAACTAATTTTTTTTATAGGTGATGGATGTATACGGGATTGAGATGGATGTTCACCAACACATGGCTGTCATCCTAATTCCTATAATGCTGAGCACGTGGATCAGGAATCTAAAATACCTAGTGCCTGTCTCTTCGATGGCGAATTTTTTGGTTATAGCTGGCTATGTCGCCACTATGTACATAATGTGCAACGATTTACCATCGATTCATGAGAGGCGATACATCGCCGATTGGCATGATTTGCCTCTGTTTTTTTGGCACTGTGATATATTCTTTCGAGGGTATCACTTTGGTAAGCTGTTTCTATGTACTCCGTATTTATATAACGCGTTATAAATTTAGCAACAAGTCATTTCGTTTATATTGTTACCCTTTTCTATTAAGAAATAAACTCAAAAAATGCTATGCTCACTTTGAATCCAGATTAATGAATTATCTTCTATAATATATATTGTTTGCGTAAGAGAGATTTAAAAAAGGCAATTGTAGAATACTTATAAGTTTATTAAATTATTAGAAAAGTTTATCAAATTTTTAACAATTGATAATGAATTTAATAAGAAATAAATTTTTGTTGTGTGGCGAACTTGAATTCGAATTATTTATTATTATATAATATAATTATTTATTATATTCTTACTAAATGTTGAATATTATTAGGAAATAGATTGTAAAATGATTTGATCAAAAGTAACTATAAGAAAAAGTATATTTAATAAAGAAAATATTTAATATAGGAATAAATTATGTTATATAGATGTGGATCATGCTGATTTTTATTTTTTTTCTTTTTTTTTTTTTTTTTAATTCTATTGTGCTGAACTGATTATATCGCATTCCGCGGCGATTCAAAAAGGAAAACAGACAAAACAAAATCGAAACAGCGATCGCGTCCAGTGACACCCAATTCACACATTACATACAAAATATATGAGTTACACTTTTACATATATAAATTCAACACTCTCACTCGATGAATATCTTTATAAAATTATACAATCATGTTGGACAAATCATATTTACATTTGTAATATCATTCTGATATAATAAACTCTGAAATTTTTGCTTCAATTTTCGTAAACATTATTGGATTGATTAATTGTTTATCAGTTTTAATATATTGAACATCTATTTCATCTATTCTATTTTTCGTAAATAAAATTATCTATATGTTTAGACACAACTCTGAATTCTTTATTAAAATAATTGTAACTTGATTATTACAATAAATCGACGTTGACAAATTTTGAAAATAATTTAAGACACAAGAATTTGTCTTAACTATATAATTCCTTTTGTTGCCCAATACAAACCTAATTTCAATTTCCAAAATAGCAACTGTTGATTGTTTACGTGACAATTACACAGCAGGACCATCATCGTTTAAGTGACAAATCCAGTGATGCTCTTTCTAGTATCTGCCATCTGTTCAATTAGAGTCACAATATGCAATTAAAATTAAATCTTTTGACGCTTAATCATAATTAAATTATAATTTATTGTCTTTTTAAATATTTAAATATTTCCATTTCAATGATTTCTACTTGGTTTTTCTGCAAATTGACTTAACACAATAAATGCCAGATCAGATCTTATAGTCACCATTAAAAATATTAACAAACCGATAACTTTTCTACAAGGGAATGATTCAACGTTTTTTTCGTTTGTATCAGTGAACTTAACATTAGAATCAGCAGGCATTGAAAAATTGATTGCAATTGAAAAACAGTTTCTATAATTAAATTTACTTAATATTTTTTCTGCATAAGCCTTTTAAAACATTTTCAAACTTTGCAATTTTTTATTTCTTTCTATTTGTAATCTGACAAAATATTCAGTCTTGGAATATTTTATTTTGAACACTTGACTGAGATTAGAAAGTAAATCATTCATTTTTAAACGACTATTATAACAAATTATACCATCATCAACATACAGTACATGCATTGTACAGTATATACATAATTAAAGTTTTTGAAATCAAATAATACATACAGGTATCATTTTTAAATTGTATCAAACTATATACACATAAATTCATTGATTCTTTTATTTCATTGTTTTGATGATAATTTTAGTTTATACAAGTTTTTTCAAGAAACATATACATCATCTAATTCGAAGCTAGCTGATTGCTCCATGTAAATAAGTTTCTTCTAAATCACCATACAGAAATATAGTCTTTACGTCGAATTGTATTAATTTCAAATTCATTACAATAGCGACCGATAACAGTATCATATTTCACAGAGAGAATGTTTCTTTGTAATCAATGCCATCCTTCTGTGTATAAGCTTCTTACAATAAGTCTGGCTTTGTATTTACAAATTGATTCAAATTCTTCGTTGATTGTTTCTATTCATTTATTCGAATCTTTTGGTTCTAATGCTTTTTGAATATTTTGTGGCTTATAAGCAGCAATGTTTCAGCCATTCAGAATTCTGTTGACATTGAAACAGATATCTTCTATGAAACAGATAAGGATTTCATTGAATCAGCTATCGAAGATTTTTCTTTAATAGCGATATCGATTCATCCTTATCGATTTTATTTCCATATTTGTTTTATTTGTTTTGTTATCAATGAATTTAATTATCTATGTAGGCTCACATTTAGATTTTTCGTTGAAAATAACATTTCTACGAATGTAACATTTCTTCGCAACAATCAATCAACAAGCTTTGTTTTCTTCGCTGTCTAATCAACAAGCTTTGTTTTCTTCGCTGTCTAATCTATCATCAAATATTTTTTTGAATTTATCTCTCACTTGTTTCTTTGATTTTTCGATATATAACAATCATTTCCGAAAATTTGTAAGTGTGCTACAGATGGCTTTTTGGTATACCATTGATCCTTCCAAGGTTTCCGTAGCTGTCCAATATTTAATATAAATAGCTGTAGCCTATAAATATAGCAATGATTTCTTTGCATACAGATTTCTGATTCAATATTTTGAATTATATTGATTCAATAATTATTCTATTTTGTCTCTCGATAAATCCGTTTTGTTGCACGCGGTGTTATTATTTCATATTTAATGTTTTTCGAAAATAAATAATTTTCGACCGTTCTATTACAAAATGTTTTATCACAATCAGTTCTCAGTGTTGTTTCAAATAATTGAGAATTTCTATTTTCTCTTTCAAGAAATAAACATAACAATATCTTGAATAATCGTCCTTTAATAATAAATGGATCATCTTATCGTATAGATCGATATGAAATATTTTTGCATGCTTAGCTCTTGTGGATTTTCTTTCGGAAAAATTTCGTGTATATGCTGTTTGATATATCCTTCAAAAAATATCACCTTCATATCCTTCAAAAAATATCACCTTTTATTACATCGATTTTCAAATCTTGCATAGTCGAATTTGTTACCATGTATCGCAATGTTTTAAAATTTACGTATCTTTCATGCCACTGTTCCGGTGTAATACACATTCATGCCACTGTTCCGGTGTAATACACACTATCACACATTATCACACATTAATACACATTATATATTTGCTTCTGTTTTAGTATCATAAAATTTAATTTATTATTAAGATTATTTCCCTTAACAATTAATTTATTGTTCTTAGAAATATATACTTTGTTATCATCTTCAAAAATAACTCTCATTCTTTTTCTAAAGCATATCCGATTGACAACAAATTCTTCTTTGATTGCGGTATATAGTATTCCACTGATTGCGTATTTGCGGTATATAGTATTCCACATTTCGCCAGTATTTGTCACTTCAACATCGATGTCTTTTTTGCTTTTAACATAATGTATCGCCCGTATATATATATTTTCTACATATATTTTCATGTTTTTGAACTGTTCTTTTCTGAAAGACATATGTTCCGTTGCATTCGAATCGGCAAACTATATATCTTCATCTTTTTGTGGAACATCCTCTACATTAAATAATTTAGCTGAATCAGAATGTTTAATATTTTTATTTTCTTTTTCATTTTTTTGAGCTACTAAACTCAAAAAACTCTTTTCGTACATGATTTTTTCAATATACAATCCAATATCCAGATTTTCTGCAGAAATAAGATTTATTATTTTTTTATATTTGTATCAAGGCCATGAGAATCACAAAAATCACGGGAAATACGAAGATCACGGCGAATATGATTCCTTTTATATCCTTTCGAATAATAGGTTTCTTCCATCTCTTTACAGAATATTTGTATATCTTGCATTTTTTACAGTATTTCTTCATATTAAGTGATTTGTCAATCGTTCAATTGTCTGTTCTGCTTATGGTACAGCATACTAGCCTGTGCGAATATTATCATATTTTGTTCTTAAACTTGATTAAATTTTTGCAATGATAATAGGATCTTTTTATTCCATATTTATGTCTTTCGTGGCAATCTTTGTGCCAGCGAAATGTGATCTGCGATGGATATTTTTGGATTCATTTTTGTATTTATAAATTGATTCAAAAGTATTTGTACTGACTAATCACTTTTCTTAGCATATATGGTACACAATCTCCATATTTATGCAGCAGTAAAACAATTTGATAAATGTCTTAATTGAAAACCTTTTATCAAAAATGCTTCAGCATCTTTTTAAATCCATGATACAATATTTGCTTCATTTTCAGATCTGGAAATCGAACCACTGATATACATTTTATTCTTCACTATGTAAATCTTCATTTGTTGTTTTCATAGCTAATAGTTTTATAGTCCATTAAAATAATGGAAGTGATATAATTTTGCTTCAGCCACTTTTATTTTATTTTTAATTTTAATTTTTAAAAGGTACAAAACTTTCGTATTGAATTATAAAATTTCACAACAATATATCTTTTACTTCAGTATCAAATCATTCACTACACGATAACGGAAGATATTGGGCCCATAATTTATTAGGTTATGAAATGATTTGACCAAAAATAATAATAAGAAAGAATATTATAAAAATATTATATAGATGTGAATCATGCCAATGTCTTTATTGTACTGTACTGAGTTCATTATGTCGCGTTCCACGATTCAAAAAAAGAAACAGCGATCGCGCCCAATGAAACTCAATTCACACATAAATATATAAGATATGAATCGCCCTTTTATATATATAAACTGAACAAAATTTGATATTAATTGTTGCAGTTAAAAAATATTTAGAATTGCTAATTATAAAGATATGACTTTTTAAGGAGAAATTAGTAGTATTGAATCAGATAAAAGATAATTTATTATTTATATGTTACTTTTTATTAAATTATTAATAAAAGATGCCGAAAGATGAAATATAGTTTATTAAAAATATATAAAAAAAAAAACAAAAACAATGATAAATTACTTAATAGAACATTAATTCGATAAAAACTTTATAAAGATCTTGTATTCTATGAGCTTCTATATATATAAAGTATTATCTTTATACAATATATTTATATTATATCATATTATATTATATTATATTATATTTTTATATATTTATATATTATCTTTTAAAATTTTTCAAAAATTAATCAATTTTTTTTTCTTAATATAATGTAAATTTATTATATATTTTCCAAGCAATAAAATATTTAAAAGTATAACAATATTTTTATATTTTAATTAAAAATGAATAAAATATGTTGAAATTTAATTCTTAATATTGATTCAATATTTTTTTAGTATAATATCAATTGATTTTTATTAATAGATCTTTTTTATCTTTCAGGTTTTACCTTTGAAAAATGAAATGAAGAAACCGAACAATTTCAGTAAGCCACTTGGAGTTTTAAATGTTGGAATGGTGATTGTCGGTGGAATGTTCGTCGCAATGGGTTTTATATCTTATTTAAAATATGGTGATGCAGTAGCTGGATCCGTAACGTTAAACCTTGAATCTAAGGAAGTGTAAGTATAAAATTTACTTTTGTAAATCAAAATTTTATTATTATATAAAGTTAAAAATCTCTCTAATTTCAGTATATATTATGTATATTAGTATGTATTATTTATATTAATTATTTTTTAAATTATAATTTGTCAAAGATATATTTAATATTATAAAAATATAAAATTTATTTTCTTTTTTAATTGATGAATTTTATATTATAAAATTTTATAAAAAGTAATTTTAAATTTTTTATTGAAATAAGAATCAAGAAATTGAAAAATCCTTTTATTTATATTTTTTTATTTTATGTTATATAATTTGGTATTATATAATTTATTTTTAATATGATTTAAAATATTACATTCGAAAAATATTTTATTTTTCTGAATCAAGAAAAGCATATTTATATGATTTCGTACGAAAGGCATATTATTATCTTTTATCATGAAAACTAATATATTAAAATGATTTTTCATTTATATTAACTTTCATTTATATTACTTATTAAAGTAGAACGAATACATTTGAATGATTATATAGAAAAAAATATATATATATATTTCCATCATTTACTATAAAAACATTAAAATATTTAAAAATATTTTTTAATGACGTAAACCAATATTGAATAATTTGAATTAATGAATCAATGAAATCTAATATAATTAGATTTTAATTTTAATCTGATCATAACTATAAATGTACGTATAATGTATTAATTTTCATATAAATTCAAATATGATTTTTTTTTCTAACCAAATAGAGTTCTAATATTCTTCAAAAGAATAAATTATTTCTGGTAGCAAAGACAAAATATAATGCCTTCGTAAAAAATTAATTCTTTTTCTTGAATACTCGAAATATGATATTTTTCTTAAGACAAATGAAATATTTTTTTATTATACATGTTGTTATTCTATAAAAAAATTACAATGGAAAATAATCTATGTATAATATAATATAATATAATATTTGTAAAATGTAATATAATAATTAAATACAAAAATAATTATTGTAACAAATATATTTGTTTTATATTGATTCAGTAATAAATTATGATACGTTTAAGTAAATTGCTATATTAAGAATAATTAAAATTCTATCATGCAAAATGATAAAAAAATAGCAAAATGAAAAAAAAATACATATTTTATTACGGAAATATTTTACTATATAATTTTCTGTTGCATACAAAGGATGGATGGAAAAATCATCGTCGAGCACACAAGGTTTTTATCATATAGGTTATTTAGAAATATTGTGTTCTTTTATAAAATATTTTGTGTAATATTGTAACATCGTGCTTCTTTATTTATTCTATTAGCATTCAATAATAATAAGTTATAATAATAAATTATTGTACTTTGTATGTCAAAATTTGCATGCTTTGATAGATTTAACATTATCAAATAATTTTTATGATTGCAAAAAGGTGAATAGAATTTTATGGTTTTTTGACAAAAAATAATCGAAGAAAATATTATTTAGATATTTCATTCATAAGATATTATTGTTATTTTTTTACAGTTTACCTCAGTGTATACAAGTTGCCATTTCATTGAGTATCTTACTCACATATGCATTGCAATTCTACGTTCCCATTGCGATTATATGGCCGGAAATTGTCAATCGTTTTGGTCCCTTTAACTGGCCTGTTCTATCAGAAACTATTTTTCGTTCTACAATGTGTTTATTAACATGTAAGTTTAATATTTAAATTTTATATCTATCAAGTTAAAATTTAAATGAATATTTTTAAATTTGTAATACTGTAAAACTCTTTTTCTTTCTATTATTAAGAACAACGTTCTTTATAAACATGAATTTTATGTTTATTTTTAATATTTTAAATTATTAATAATAAAATTATATTAATATTTTAAATTATTGAAATTATCTTGATTATTGTTTATTATTATGATTATTGTGAATAGTTAAAATATATACGAAAAAGATTGTTTGTCTATAAAAAAAGAAAGAAAAAATTATCAAGAATTTATTCTATTTATAGAATTATAGAGAATATTCTGCGTAAGATAAATTGATTACAATTTAGTATTTGGGATAATAAGTAGAATATAAGTAATAAGTAAGAATGTGGGATATTAATGGAAAACCTTATCATTAAAGGAACCCATCAATGGGTATCTGAAGTATTTTTTCATAAATATTATAGCCATTTTTGTAGCGAAATTCGCATAAAGATAATACACTTTTTAAATTAATAATAGTACTTATTTTTTGTACGTAATACTATAATTATTTACATAATACTTAATAAACAGATTGGGAAAAAAACAGTAAATAGAATTTAAAATCATGGTTATCTCACTGATTTTGATGATTTTTAAATGTGTTATTGATTTCTTTTGATGATTCTGTCAATTGATTCTATTCTTTTCTTTATATATTATTATCTCTCGATTTTAGTTTTCGAGATATTTACAATAAAATTGTTATGAATATTGTTTCTATGTATACATCTATGACACAATATACGTTAGTATGCGGCGTTTAATGTTTATCAATTGTTTATATAAATAATTTGTATAACATTGTTTATATAAACATCACAAATCGGCTATTATCAAAAATATATAAGATTCTTTCACAGATTCTTTAGATCTGCAGAATAACCAAAGGAATAACAATTGACATCAATTATATTATTTACTACTTATTATTGTAACATTAGTCATAATTTTAGTATTTAATAGTTAGAAATGGTTTAAACATGAATTAAAAGATTTAAATTATCAAAACTGAAAAAAAATCTATATTTTAATTATAAGACAACTTAATAATTTTTAATGTACTTGTTTCTTTAATGTACTTCAATATATATATATATATATTATAC